ATTATGACATTTATTTAATTACTGGTAAAAAAGGGTTTGTTAAGACTGGAAGAGTCTGATGGGAAGGTATGATATACAGTATGTCTGAAAAAGTTGGCAACATTTGCATTGATTCGTCTTACGAAATTCCGTTCAAAACCCAAAATATGTACCTACTATTAATTAAAATAGTTCTATCAATTGATCATAATTGAACTACCGTTAGTAGTTCACTTTAATTATAGACCGTTTCGATATAACTGACATTCCCCGAATAGTTTATCTTTAAAGACTCGTGTGTAGAAATTCTAATAGAGCAATATTCGAATTGCAGTTATTTTTTACTATGTAAATATTCCGTTTGTGCGCTCTCGACAAAACGACAGTAATAAATGAAGGGCTGTTCGATTCCCGCCCATTCCGCGTCGACAATTCGAAATGTCGATAAGTTTTGCGAAACGTAATTTATTAACATTGGACTGTCCACCCACAAGATTAAGTGCAAATACCTCGATATTCAAAGTTCGTTTAGTTATCTGCGCGTTTTAATCCCTATCCTTTTTAGGAATTTACGAGTTGTCTTAACTCCTATACATGCCCGATTAACCGGCTGCCATAAATTATCGGGAATTTTTAAGTTGGTCAAGCGAAAATTCAACGTAACTCTATACTATTTTTGTATTATTTGCATAATATATTTGCTTGTCTTCGGCAATTCTTTAACAAAATTGGGAACTTCAACAAACATTTTCTGGAAAAATACATTCATGTAAGAGTTCATTCCATACTTTATGTTAGAATAATGGCAATTCTATATTTTGGTGAAGTTATACTAACGCCATTTTTTATATACCACTACGTTATAGCCTTATTGAAATTCAAGTAAATACTGCCCTAAACCTGTTAAGAAGTTTGTAAAAGATTAAGTTGAATAAAGCCGATTAAAGCTAAATGCAAAGCATAATATGATATTCGAACAAAATACAATAGTTTACTATTTACTTATCATTTGAATTTCACGCATTTCACGCATTTAACGCCTACAGCAATTTTATTTGCACTGTAACTCACCATATCAAATAACATTTTTGAACAAACAAATAAACTACATCGAATTGAGATATCGAATACCCTTTTTTGCTCTGTCAAAATATTCAAACGATATACCAATTCCATGTCAGTTTCCCAATTGTATACAAATTTCATTTAATGGAGATACATTTCCGATTTCTCATGTTTTCTCAATGGAAAGAGGGCGGCGACACTTCGGCCCTATTTGAATTTTTATAGTTCGGTCGACCGGGATTTCCCGCATGCATTATTGAAATGCATCGATTTAATTGCGGCTGCAATAAAAAAGAAACCGGAAACAAGGATATCTTATAAATTTTAATTGCACCGGCGTAGAGGATGTTTTTCAATTTTCGTGGCTTTTGTGCGGAGCGACGAAACTCGTTTGCATGGGGCACCTAAATTTATTCAAAAATTTCCCAACTTTCCCGTGATAAAGACGGGGCGAACGCGTAATTAGGTTAGATAAATTAAATTACAAGTAATTACCGAGTTCAAATTTGAATTCGGCCCGTCAACGGATACACAACTGCTCAACGAGCCAGAAGAGACGGATAAAGCATGATTTTCGCTCATTAAACAATGCGAATTAACAACTTGCTCGAAATACAATGAGCAAACTGCGAACTGACAGTTCTGCCTACCTTTTCAATATCGATTTAGCCGGGGGATTTGAAACGATATTGAACAAAATTCGACGTGATATTTCAATAGTTACCAGATACCCCAAATAGATATCATATAAAATTACTAAATGTAGAACAATATATTAATCAAGCATCTGATATTACTACGGCCTAAATTTACTGAAAGGGCTAGTTAATAAAACGATAATAAAAAATGTTTTAACAAAAAGTAATTTAGGTACAGATGTTTATGATTATTTTCTTTGGAAAACTGACAATAGACTCACAGCATAAATTCGTTTCAACTTTAATACTTTAATTCAGACGATGAGAGAGTTCCTCCAACTTATCTAATAAACGAAAGTAACCCGACTATAAAGTTAATTCCAAGTCAAAACTAGAACGGCGGAGTAAATATAACAAAGTATTTCGAAATATTTCCAATAAGAGTAAAGTGTTTTCTTGGCACAAATACTAAATCAGGAGGCAAAAACAATTAGGAAACTCCGCCGGCGAAGAAGCGAAGAAGCGAAGAATCAAAGTCGCGCCTGCGACTCCTCCCGTTCGGAACGGCAGCGAAAATAAATTTGTCATTGTCCATTTATTTGTTATTTTTTGGCCGAGATGAAAGGATTTCCCTGGCAGTTCTGAAGTTGCGCCTGTTTTGAGGAAAGTTCAGAGGGTTAGAAGCGAAGCTGACGTGCTGACGGGGCCGATTGTTGACTTCCGGACCCAAGCGGAACAAGACGGATCCAGAAAGAGGAAATTCGATATTGTTTGTATTTCTCGCTTTTCTCGCAAGATACCCGTTTAATGAATTATTCGAGGTCACAAACAACGATACTAATATACAAACATCGATTTAAGTTGTGTTTCATATACAATTAATAAAAGCTAATGTTTGTTAGTTTTTATTACGAAATGACGCAAACATTCGATTTCCTAAAAATAAATTCGTATTTCTTCCACAAACAAAGCACATAAATCCTCTTTATCTACAGAAAATGCTCCAAATAAATAGTTGCTTCCTTTGTTTTATTATATCTTATTGTTCCCATAATTTATTTCTTTGATTGATTTATATACAAAACAAATCTATTGCTAACAAAAATCATTTCTCGAGTATTTCTGTACAAATAATTCCTACAGTCCTTTCTTCTAAAATTTCTTACTTTTTTCTTTACTCCATCCCACTTCTGATGCAATTTCCATAATACAATTGAACCGGAATTCCTGCATAAGACATTAATGCTGCTACGCTACTGTATCGAGTAAAACTGACTTTTAGGTTTACGATGCACGTCTGTGCTAAGACATCGACAGGGCGGGATAAATCGTCGCCTTAGACTTCACCGGTCGTGAATACAGAAACTTTGCCGAGCAGAGCCAACCGAAAAGACATTACATAAATCAATGTCGGCCGGGAATACGAGAAATCTATAGGTCTATCTATCGGCTGGAACTCTTCAACCGTAAATTAAATATCGCCGGTGCGAAATTATGACCGTTAACAGCGGGTTTTTGTTGTGATTTCGCAGCTGGGGAAGGTAGTGACGCAGAGAAACCGCTATGAGAGCTTTCCGGTGTAGCAGGAATCACCGGCAATGGTGTTTTGAACATAAATTCATTTCAAAAGTTCATCATCTGTAATGTTAATTGTTCAGAGATTATTTTGGTGATATCTATCAACTTTTGTTACAAATGTAACTACTAATGGATTCATAAATAGCTTGCATTGGTAATTTGTCCCTTACCAAAAATTTGCAAAAAATAAAAATTATGCAAATTAAAGAGTGCATGTATGACTAGTAATTACCTAAAAGGAGTGACTATTAATCTGTCTAAAGTGTTAAACTCACAGCATGCTTTATCCTGTATCCTAAAGGAATCACAAACTAATCAAAATATTCACAAAGTTTATTGGCTCTAACTAATTTGTAATTTCTGCAGTTACAAATGAATAAAATGTATTAAATCTAAGTAAAATCGCCCAATGCGAACCACCCTTAATGTGGTATAAAAAATTATTCTAACGGAATGTGCGGTGGTAGAGACACTACCAAAAAGGGAAAAAAATAAACGACGTCGTCTCGCAACGAGCCTTGTTACGTCCAGAATAGATGAACAAAACAAACGTTTGTTAGTAATTTGAATAAAAAGAGAGTCGGTGGCGTAGCGTCGAGCGTCCACCATTTGCATATTCAAATGTTGTGGTCGTTGCAATTACGTCATAATTGAAATAGTAAAAAGAGGCAACGTCCTCGGTAATTGATCGTCACAGGCGAAAGGAACGTTAACGAAAAAAAAGGGGGAAAGCTATTTTTTTATCGATTTATTCAATTAGCCAGCTAATTCTGCAATTTAGAGAATCCTAAACCGATCACCGTAAGCAGATAGCTAAATGGTTTTTTGTATTTATTTATCCATATTCAATTAATTTTAAATAGGCTTACAAAAGTCGTCCAATAATACCGGCCGGATTATCTCCTCCTACACTAAACTAAATCCATTTTGATGTGTTGATTCGGAAAAAAGCCAACGTGTTACCAAAAGCAAATTCGTAACGAAATTCGCTGTGATTGCCGAATGGCCGGACATCGGGGGATGTTTTGAGTTGCAACCGACTGTGATTGTTTGCTGCGGTCTTTGATTGACGAGTTAATCAATCGGATGTCAGTCTGCGGGCCCTGACATTAACTGCTTAGTTATTACCATTCGTACTTAATGATGCGTGTGCGTCGGGTCCGGGCCTAATTCGAAGGAATTTCTCTAACTAATCCCTTCGTTTCTCCCCCGCCAAAATCTGACTCGATTAAAGGTAGAAATCCGGCTTTGTTTGGAAAGTAAATCGATGGATCCACTATCATCAATTTTATTCCACACGTTTACCAAAGTACCCTGCATTCTTTTACGTCTGGTATAAGTCATAGTCGAGCGAACTTGGTGAATATTTCTCACGCGTCCTTTGCTTGATCCCATTAACGTGCTTACCACAATATCCTAAGATAATATTTTAGGTTCAGTCACTACAACTTAATACTATTACTAACTGCTTACGATGGTTTACTAGTTTGCCGAATTTTCAGTAACAAAGTTAGCTGGTGTTTGCTTTGATGTTTGTAGATGTAATTTTAGTGTGTCATGCATGAAGATTATCTTCGTGAATTCGGCTCTTTGAATTCGTTTCCCTAAACCAGCGGCGTCCATTTAAAGTAGCGAAGTAATGTAACATGAGATGTCATTTAAGTGAAGCCTTTCATTAAGGCACATCCTGTATATTTGTCATTTTGTCATTTATTTTAGGTTAAAATAGGTTAGAATTTAGTAATTTATAGCATAATATTTATGACGAGAATTTTTGCACGTTTGAGGAAATTAAATGGCTGTTTTTTTCAACGTGTGTACGTATTTACATACATATATCAGATGTTAAAATATTCAAAGAGATTTTTTAGCCTAGGTAGTGAATTTTATTCTACCTAATTCTCTCACAGCCAATTATTTACAAGGACCTTCTAAAATTATTATACCCAAGTAGATTTATCTAGATATAATTTAGCAAATCATTACTAATTTTATTTACTCAACTAATATCTTAATGTAATTATGTTTTTCACAACGTACTTAAGTGTGTAATTGCTATCTTTGAATAAAAATGTTATAATATCAGTTCTAATTTTATATTTTATAAATCAGTATTCAATCGTCAGTGAATATGGATTCCTCAATCATTAAAATAGAAGAAGGACGAATTCAAGGGACACGAAAGACAGACTTAGATGGAAACCCATTTCATGCCTTTTTGGGAATACCATATGCAAAACCACCCCTTGGTCAATTAAGATTTAAGGTAATAAATTAAACTTATTATAATACAGTAGTCACACTGATTTATAATATAGGCTCCAGAACCGATTGAACCTTGGAATGATGTAAAAGATGCAACTAAAGAAGGAAATCCCTGTTACCATCAAGACTTTCTCACTAAAAAAGTGTTTGGTTCAGAAGATTGCTTAAATTTACATGTTTACACCAAAACCGTAAGTTTCATTTACTTCAATTCGACTTTAATAAGACTTTAATAAGTTAAATTATTTTAGCTGCCTTCCGAAGAAAACAAATTAAAACCCGTAATGGTTTGGATTTTCGGAGGAGGTTTCAGACAAGGCTCAAATTCAATCGACTTTTACGGGCCCGATTATTTGCTAACAGAGGACATAGTTTTGGTCGTGCCCAATTATCGGCTAGGATTTTTCGGTTTCTTAAGCTTCGACGATACATCTCTAGGCATACACGGCAACGCCGGCATCAAAGACCAGCGACTAGTTTTGGAGTGGGTCCAAAGAAATATAAAGCATTTCAACGGGGATCCGAACAATGTGACGATATTCGGAGAGAGCGCCGGCAGTCTTAGCGTACATTATCACGTTCTATCGCCCTCGTCGAAGGGGTTGTTCCATAAAGCTATAATGCAAAGTGGCAGCGTGCTTAATCCTTGGACTCGCCCCGGCGATTTTGGACTCGAATTCGCCAAGTCCGTTAAACCTGATGTGGAAACCGAAGCAGAAGCTTTGGATGCTCTACAAAATCTGTCCACCGAAAAATTGTTTGAATATCAAGAAAAATTTAGCGAGGTTATTACACATAACTAAATTTATTTTTGGTTCATTACATATCGTTTTGAATTGTAGATGAAAGGCGGTGAAAAAATATTCGGCGCGATAGTTGAGAAACCGAATCCTACTGCTGTATTAACGAAGGAACCAGGAGAACTACTAGCTTCTGGTGAATACAACAAAGTACCTTTGATCATAGGCTATTGCGATAGGGAAGGGATTCTTATGCAAGTCTATGCTAATGCGAGAAAAGCAGCAGGTTTGCCCGCTTGGGAAAGGCATCAACTGAATCTTGAGCATTTCGTCCATCCGTGCATGGGATTGGATGAAAACGATCCGATTAGAGAGACTATTATAAAAAAGTTGTCAGATCTGTACTTTCAACCACCACTGGTCGATGATAAATCATTGGTTAGTTACATTCTTCCTCATATTATTATAATTATTAATATTACTACATTATAATTTTAGCTGCCCACTGATTACGAATTTGTCGCTGGTATCATCGGAGCAGCGAAATTGCACTCTAAAACTAACTCACATCCTGTTTATTTATACAGAATGTCCCTAGACGCCGGCTTAAATATGCTAAAACGACTTGCAAACATAACTGTGAAAGGTACACTCACAACCCAGTTATCTAAAATTGTAAAAAATTCATATTATTTTTAGGTGCTTGTCACGCTGATGATATAGGTTACCTATTTCATGTAAATGCCCCGGACCCTCCAATGTGTAGGGGAGATGTCGAAATGACGGCCATAAAACGTTTCGTGAAATTATGGACGAATTTCGCCAAAACTGCCAATCCTACACCTCCCAATAATAGTCTAAAAACCGTATGGAAGCCTATCGATGGAAAAGATGTTAACTTCCTGGATATCGGTACAGAACTTACTCTACACAAAAATCCAGAATCGGAGAGAATGGATGTGTGGAAAGAAATATTTCAGTTATCGCCAAGTACAAGTTATTATTTGTAATGTAAATAAACGGGTACATTCATTAGGTAGATATGTACTATGTATGGAACTGTTTACTTTTTGATTTCGGCAAGTGCTCATTTTAAATTAATTATTTTATTATGGTTTTTTCTTTAAAAATTGACCTTGTACTTGACCAATTTTAAAATATATCTTAATTGTTTTTAATTATTTTTTTTAATTTGAGATAAACATTTTAAACTAATTTAGGTAGATAACGAGGTTGGTAACAAAACAGAGCCGTAAGTAAGATAATAAGTTTGTTCAATTTAAAAATTTAAATTTAAATTAGATGTATCGCTAATCATTAGTAGATTTTACTGCTACAATGTTCTTATGTAAATGAGGTAAAGCGTCCAATATTGGTACCTTGGAACCCAATCATAATATATCATAGAGTAAATTTAAAATGCTGATTTCGTTCCTGTTTGTAGATATTAACTTTTAACTGTACAGGGTGAGTCGTGAAGAACTGTATATACTTACACAGTGTAGACTAGAGGCACTTAAGGTGAATATCAAACGATATTAAAAGTTGAATGTTTTTTATTGAGTTAATTTTAATGTATTTTTTGTAATTTTAGAACATTTTCATAGAAAGGAACAGTAATTAGGTAGTCGATATTATTAATTTTTATTAAAATTTGTATGATTTAAATATTATTTTAATGTAAATAAATCGATTATACTAAAAGTGTAATTTTTCGTAGAAATTAATAATTGTTAATTGCCAATTTAATAAAAATGAGGTTAAACATGTCCGAATGTCAGGCTTTATGAGTTACTTATACCTTCCACATTAATAATCTGGAAATTTACAGAGTACGTATACAGGGTAAAATATAATATTTGAAAGAAATTTGTCTTTTATTTTTAAAGACGACCCTGGCTTTTATTAAATTTTTAATATTACAGTGTGTTGCTAGTTCAAAATGTATAGATACTTTAAAAAATAAACCAAATCGAAATGATCACCATGAAGATATTAACGAATGAAAACTTTGTCAAAATTCATAAATTACCCTGTAGCTCCTTAAAGAAGAGACGGATGCAACTTTTAATAGCCATTTGCTATTTCATATTCACCTTAAGTACCTCTATACACTGGTTAAGTAGTATGATAAGTTCCTCAAGACTCACCCTGTATAATAGATAATATCTTTCACTGTACATTAATAGGCAGAAACATAATACTACAGTAGATTGTTGACTATGGCTTCTCCGATTGTAAAAATTGAGGAAGGAAAACTTCAAGGAACCCAAAAGAAGAATTTCGATGGAGAAAACTTTTACGCATTTTTGAACATTCCGTTTGCAAAACCGCCTTTAGGAAAATTAAGATTCAAGGTAAGAGGTTACTTAAAATTAATTTTTTAGCTAATTATTTAATCTGTACATATCTTTTAATAGGCTCCAGAGCCAGTCGAACCTTGGAATGGCGTCCGAAATGCCACTAAAGAAGGAAATATTTGCATTCAGAAAAAAAGCCATACACACGAAATTAAAGGCTCCGAGGATTGCTTGAATTTACATGTTTATACAAAAACTGTACGGTTACGCAGTTAGGTAAAACATACAATAAATTAACTTCTATACCGATTTTTTAGTTGCCATCTGAAGAAAATAATCTAAAACCCGTTATGGTATGGATACACGGCGGTGCCTTTAAACACGGCTCAAACGAAGCAGCACTTCATGGTCCTGAATATTTACTGACCCAAGATATCGTTTTAGTAATACCCAATTACCGCTTGGGAATCTACGGTTTTGCCTATTTCAACGATGTTTCTTTGAATGTACCAGGAAACGCAGGTTTGAAAGATCAACGTATGGCACTCCAATGGGTTCAGAGGAACGTTCGGAGCTTCAACGGTGACCCTAACAACGTAACGCTCTTTGGAGAAAGCGCTGGCGCTGCTAGTATACATTGCCAGTTGCTAAGTCCTAGTACAAAGGGGTTATTTCACAAGGGTATCCTGCTCAGCGGGACTATGATGAGCCCGCGTCATTACAGAGACGACACCTGCATGCAACTTGTTAGGAAGATACAACCTAATGTAGATACAGAAGCCCAAGCATTAGAGGTTTTGCAACAGTTATCTACTGAGGAACTGCTTCAATATCAAGAAAAATTTTGTAAGGTTTGTTAGGACCCGTTTTATTGATATTTGGTATTACTTTTGTTTTCGATTTTAGGAAAAAGGAGTGCTTCGAATTTTCGGTCCAACTATAGAATATCCGAATGAAACCGCTTTATTGACTTCGCATCCTGGAAAATTAATCGTGTCCGGGTCGTACAACAAAGTTCCTCTAATCTTTGGATATTGCGACAGGGAAGGTTTGATTATGGAAATCCTTTTTAAATCACTGGTAGACTCTGACATAAATTTGGAAGATTTTATTCATCCAGATTTGGAACTGCTACAAAATGATCCCAACAGATTGGTTATTAAGAAAAAACTGGCAGATTTATATTTGCAACCACCTTATAATGAAAGATCATGGGTAAAAGTGAAGAAACTTATTTTTGTCTATTAATTTATATACGTTTCTGATGTTTTAGATATACAGTGACTACGAATTCATTGCTGGTACAATTGGCAGTGCAAAAATTCACGCTAAGGCCTCTTCCCAACCGGTATATCTATACAGAATGTCCATAGACGCTGGTTTGAACAAATTAAAGAAAACGGGTAAACTTAAATCCAAAGGTAAGTACTCGTATTTAGAAGTATTATTCGAATTAATTGGATAATAAAAGTACTTTTTCAGGTGTTTGTCACGCTGATGACTTGGGATATCTCTTTTATATGGACGAGACGTCATTAAAAAAGGTTGGAATGTATCGTGGTGATCTAGAAACAACCGCAATGAGAAGATTTGTAAAATTATTTACTAATTTCGCAAAAACTTCTAACCCTACACCACCAGGAAATGATTTAAAAATAACATGGAAACCAGTGGATCAAAACGAAGTTTATTTCCTAGATTTGAATACTGAACTTACTCTGCACACAAATCCAGAATCGGAGAGAATTGATGTGTGGAAAGAAATATTTCAGTTATCAAAAAACACAAGTTCTTATTTGTAATGTACCTAAATGTTAGGTAGATATGGAACTGATATTCAATTTTTGATTTCAGCTAGTACCTACTCATTTCAATAGAATTATTTTATTGTCGTTTTTTCTTTAAAAATTAACCAATTTAAAAATATATTTTAATACTTTTATTTTCTTTAATTTAATATTGATTTAACATTTTAATCTAATGTAATTAACGAGGTAGGTTGCAAAACAGAGCCGTAAGAAGATAACATTCTTGTTTAATTTCAAAATTTAAATTTACTTTAGATATACCGCTAGACATTAGTAGATTTTACTGCTTAAATGTTCATAAATGTTTACAACCACGCAATATTCGTACAATAAAGGTGGAAATAGATTAAGTAAACATTGTTGTTCAACAGTTGAACAACATACTAGTTCGCACAAGGTGGTACGTGTAGCGCAATAGTTGTACTGCTGTTGCTGATCTGTTGCTTGGTGTTTACTCTCGTACTTCAAAGGAGATGTTGCTCAACAGTGCGCATACAGCGTCGCCAGTGTAGACGCCTATACGGCATAATTGAACATAACCAACACTGGATAAACACCGGACCAAGTAGGTTGGTCGATGTTAACGAACAGTGTGTCGACAATGTTTTCCCCCCTTACGGAAAAAGTTGGACAACAGCTGTCCAAGTGTTGTTCAACTGTTGCACAACAATGTTTGCTTTATCTATTCCTACCTTAGAACCCGAACGTAATATATCGTAGAGTAAATTTATAACGCTGAGTTCGTCCCTGTTTTTATACAATTAACTTGGACCTATATAATTATAAGATGAATGGATAATATCTTACGTTGTACCTACATTAAACATTGTCACAAGGTATCATAAGACTACAGTACATTGGTGATTATGGCTTCACCGATTGTAAAAATTGAGGAAGGACAACTTCAAGGAACTCAAAAGAAGAATTTCGATGGGGAAAACTTTTATGCATTTCTGGATATACCATTTGCCAAACCGCCTTTGGGAAAATTAAGATTCAAGGTAAGAGGTTACTTAAAATTAATTTTTGAAGTAATAATGTATTTAATGTGTTGTTTAATTTCCTAATAGGCTCCAGAACTAGTCGAACCTTGGAATGGCATCCGAAATGCCGCTAAAGAAGGAAATATTTGCATTCAGAAAGATAATATTACAAACGAAATAAAAGGCTCCGAGGATTGCTTAAATTTACATGTTTATACAAGAACTGTACGATTACACAATTAGATTAAACATACAATAAATTAACTTTTATATGATTTTTTTTAGTTGCCATCTGAAGAAAATAAACTAAAACCTGTAATGGTATGGATACACGGAGGTGCATTTAAAAACGGCTCAAACGAAGCAGCTCGTCATGGCCCTGAATATTTACTAACCGAAGATATTGTTTTAGTAATACCCAATTACCGTTTGGGAATCTACGGTTTTGCCTATTTCAACGATGTTTCTTTGAATGTACCAGGAAACGCAGGTTTGAAAGACCAACGTATGGCCCTTGAATGGGTTCAAAGGAACATCCGTAGCTTCAACGGAGATCCTAACAACGTGACGCTCATCGGAGAAAGCGCTGGCGCAGTTAGTATACATTGCCAGGTGCTAAGTCCTAGTACAAAGGGCTTTTTTCACAAGGCTATCCTGCTCAGTGGAACTCTGTTGAGCCCACGTCCTTACAGAGACGATACCTGCATGCAACTTGTTAGGAAGATACAACCTAATGTGGATACAGAAGCCCAAGCATTAGAGGTTTTGCAACAGTTATCTACTGAGGAACTGCTTCAATATCAAGAAAAATTTTGTAAGGTTTGTTAAGACTTGTTTTACCTATTGATATTTGGTAATACGTTTGTTTTTGATTTTAGGAAAAAGGAGTACTTAGAATTTTCGGTCCAACTATAGAATATCCGAACGAAACCGCTTTATTGACTTCGCATCCTGGAAAATTAATCGTATCCGGGCAGTACAACAAAATTCCTATAATATTTGGATATTGCGACAGGGAAGGTTTGCTCATGAAAATCGTTAATAAATCACTAGTAGAATCTGACATAAATTTGGACGATTTTATTCATCCGGATATGGAATTGGAACTAAATGATCCCAACAGATTGGTTATTAAGAAAAAATTGGCTCATTTATA